GTAAAAGCCCCGAGTTCGCTCTACAGTGGTCCATCTTGGGTCCTGGAAATCTCAGCTTGAAACTGTGGCTTTGTTTTTGGGGGAGGGGTTTGTTTTGTTTTTCATGAAACTCAGGTCCTCCTCCGTTCTAGCCACGTAGCAGATGCCCATTGATCACGTGCGGCAGGACAGCACCATTCTAGAGTTCTAGAAATTGCCCAGGCTTGTCTCCTGGAATGGTATCTCCCGCTGCTGAGTGAGGGCAGGAGCAGACAGCAGGGAGCCCTGCCTGGTGACCCCGACCCGCCACCCCGACCCTCTCCCCATCCTGCCTTCCAGGCCCAACCGCCTGCTCATCCTCCACGGCTTCCTGGACGAGAACGTGCACTTCTTCCACACCAACTTCCTTGTCTCCCAGCTCATCCGGGCAGGGAAGCCCTACCAGCTCCAGGTGGGTGGCCCCTGGTGGCGCCCGCCCACCCCAAGAGCAGCAAGGCTCCAGGGACGGGGAGAGGCAGTGGGCACGCGGAGCCACACACACACACCCCAGGCCTCCGAGGCTCTCCCCTCAGACACCCGCTGCGCCTGGCACCCCGGCAGCCCTCCTGCTGTCTGCCCAGCACAGGGTCAGTGCTGCAGGTGCCCTGGGGACAGGAAGGGCACACAGACACAGGTCACCGGGCTGAAAGATGTGCTTAGGGTACGGAGTGCCTGGTGAGGTCTGAGCAGAGCTCCTTGAAAGGGCAGGAGGCAGTGACCTTCAGAGCGGTAGGCCGGGGTGGGGGCTGGGGTGGGGGGCGCCACGTGTGTCCCACCTCAGCTGCCCACCCTCCCCAGGGCTGCCCCTCCTCTCCCTCCCGCTCCCTCCCTAGGTCACCCCGGGCCTGGCTGCCCGTCTGTGAAGTGAGCTCAGGGCCCTTGGGATGTGCTGGGCAGGCAGGTCAGTCAGGGTGGCCCACCTAAGCGAGGGGAGAGGGAGAAGGAGGGGGAGTGGGAGCACCAGTGAGCTGCGTGAGGAGTGGAACCCGAGCCTCCCAAGACACTCAGCAGCCTGGGCACGTCCTCCTGTGGGCTCCTGGGCTGACGACCACTCTGTGCCCGCAGCCCCGGGAACGAGGGGTGGGACAGGTCAGGATGGGCAGCAGCTGGGGCTGACCCCTGCTCAGGGTCTGGGAAGGGTGGGGGCGGGGCTGGAGGATGGCAGGGAGGAGGGAGATGGGGAGGGAGGAAGGGAGGGGTCCCTGAGGCTGCAGGGGCAGCAGGTCCCGGGAAGGGTAGGTAAGTCGACACCATGCTGGGCAGGCAGCCAGACTGTGCCTCTCCCAGGGACGGTGGAGCAGGAGGGCCTGGAGGAGGGGCCCACAGGAATGACGGGGGGCTCTCCCAGAGTCACGGGCCAGAGAAGGCACAGAAACCCACCCTGCTGTCAGGCAGAGGCCAGGAACGGTCTCTTGTCCTCCCAGCTGCCAATTCTAGTGAGAAACCCGACCCGGGCACCTCCTTCCGTCTGGAATCCCGAGTGTGTACACGCAAACTCACACATGCACACCCCACACACACGCAGCCTGAACTAAGGGCCTGGGCAACAACATGTCACTGCTCCTCCCTAGAGGTGACCACCTCCCTCCGCTTTGGGAGGATTAACCCGAGACGGGGCATCTTGGACATGAGCTCGGGCAGGTGCAGGTCACACGGGGCCTTTTGGTCAGGTGGGCTGACTGCCCCTCACCGCGGAGGCCAGTGCAGCACGCGCCCTTTGAGCAGGGGTGGGAGGGCAGCGGGCAGAGCTCTTTGTGAGTCTGAGTGTGCAAGCCCCTGCATTTTGAGCGTCCCTTCATGGGACCCCCATAAAAACGGTCTCCGGTGAGGAGGCCGCCACCTGGGAGGCAGCACCCTGCCCCAGGTGTGCAAGCCGGTGTCAGGAGTGGGATTTGAACCCGGCTCCTTCCGCTCTGGAGCATGTGCCCTTTCCTTTCTACCCCAGGAGAATGATGGAGGGGGTGCCCAGAGCCAGAAGGGGGGGGCAGCCTCGTTCCCTCAACGGTTCCTCTCCACACAGATCTACCCCAATGAGAGACACAGTATCCGCTGCCCCGAGTCTGGCGAGCACTATGAGATCACACTGCTGCACTTTCTACAAGAGTACCTCTGAGCCCACCTGCCTGGCGCGACCGCCCGACTCAGAAGAGCACAAGTGGCTTTGCCACCACGGGAGCCGCCCCATCCAAGAGCAGGCGCCTGGCACTGGCTGTTAGTGCCCCTGGATGCTGGGGTTGCTGTTGCCTGCTGCTGCTGCTTCCTTGCCCGGGCAAAGGCCCATGCCCCAGAGGCACCTTCCCCTGCCGTCCCCTCCGCTCCCCGAGTTCTGGAAGGACCCTGGAGAGGACAGGCGACCAGAAGACAATGGGGAGATGCCCAAGTCCCCCACTGCCAGCCCTAGCGCCCTGGTCCCTGAGCTCCAGCAGCAGCCCCTGCCAGCACTGGGCGGCCTCAGCCCCACCCCCACTGCAGGTCGGCGTTTTGTCAGGGAGGCTTTTTTTTCATAGTTATTTAAAAGACAAAACAGCAAGGGATGCCCCAGGAACTCCACCTCTTCCAGAGTGCGGAGTGACCACAAGCAGCCATCAGGGCCAGGGGTCAGGGTGTCTCCACGCCCTCCCCTCGGGCAGCGCTGACTGGGCTGGTGGCCTGAGCCCTGCAGAGCTTTTTGGGAAATGGCTGTGCCTCCCCTCCCCAGCCCCGCCCTCCTGTGTATGATTCTGGGGCTGGGCATGGCCACCACCCCCCACCTCAGGGTTATCCTTCCCTCTCCCCCCGCCCTCCCTGCTGAGAGATCTGCTGGGGGTGGGCCCAGAAAAGGGAGAGAAACAACCCAGAAACGAACCACCTCTACAGATTATGGAAAGAAAATATTTTTGTCGATTCCTATTCTTTTATAATTATGTGTGTAAGAAGTAGACTCATTAAAAGATTCCAAATGGAGACCTGGCTGCCTGCCTGAGGCACCCTCCAGGTCTGGAGCTGCTGACCGGCTGTCCTGGTGCTGCCCAAGCACGGACAGAGGCCGCAAGGGGGGAGCTCCGAAGGACAGAAACGTATTTTCTTGTCGTTTTGGAAGCTGGAAGCCCCGATTCTGGACACACACAGCCCACCCCCTGTCCTTCCTAGTTGACAGCCCTGACTTCTCTTCAGTCTCTGTCTCTACGTGTGTGTCAGTGTGTGTGTGTGTGTGTGTGAGTCAGTGAGCCAGCTCACTCCAGCCCCCGGGCCAGGCTGAGTTCCATAGGTTGTCAGTGGCTGAACTAGATCTCCAGGTGGATTGGAACCTCCCACCTTTTGACTAACACTGAGTGTATTAAGCAGTTGTGCCCCCCAAGGGCTGTGTGTGTGTGTGTGTGTGTGTGTGCAGCTCTATATAACTGATGATCAGACTCAGCCCCCCCCTACACCGAGTGACCACGTTGGATGATTACATTGCAATAGAGTGCACTACAGAAAGTCACTGCATTGCATGATGCTGTGCTACGCTGGGTTCCATTACATGTAAGCTTGTTACATCCTGTTAGATACATCCACTGCTGTAGGGGGTTGGACTCCAGCACACATTTTCACAGGGTTGCAATTCCATGTATAACAAGGAGGGCTTCATGGAAGAGACTGAGTCCCAAATTGACAGAAAGCCATCACCGGCTCCCTCCTTCCAAGTTTGCCATAGCCCTCACCAGACCGACCCAGGTCCCTTACAGGAGGAGCCTGTGTCCACGGCGGCTCAGAACAGGCAGTCTGCGGGCAGCATCGTGTGACTCGGTCCAACCTCAGACTAACCCACAGCTTCATCACAGCGCCCCCTCGTGGCAGATGCTCTATGGTCTCTCAACTTCCAAACCAAACCCATTGCCATCAAATCAATGCGGACTCGCCGATCCCATACGACAGGCTAGAACGGACCCATTGGGTTTCTGAGACGAACGCTTGACGGGAGCAGAAAGCCTCTATCGGCCACTGGAGGTGTCGAACTACTGACCGTGAGGTGCTCAGCACAACACATAACCAGCCCACTGTACCACCAGAGGCCGAGGCTGTGGAAAGCAGCCGTTTCCTGTGACCTGCCCCAACAACCACAGTGCCAAGGGGAATGCTGGCAGCTGCCACCCGCCTGGCCGGACATTCGTTCCCTGGCCTGCCCACTCTGCGTCCTTCCTGGCAACCTATTGAGGTCTTTCCTTTATGGTTGAAATGTACAGAG